TCCTTAAAGTCACCAGCTTATGGTTGTTCTTAAGGTCACCAGCCTGACAGTTCTTCTTAAGGTCACTAGCCTACAGTTGTTGAGGTCACTAACCTTGATAATAATTCTACTTGGGGGAAGTAGAGGATCCAAGGATGAGTGAAGAAGATATTACTTACTTTTAATCAGGAAGCTGATCAAAGTTTAAGATGTGTATCACTAGTCTTATCACATATAAGACTCTTGATGATGTACTTCAATAGAACTTTAATTGTTCTTTGAAAGTAGTGTGTAATAAAATTGCTTGAGGCTTTTCTCTGAGGTTGAGAGAGGGGGTTTATATATTCCTCTCTCTTAACCTAACTTTTGTGATATTTGTTTATATCACTATTTTGGTTTGCATAGTGATTCCCAATTGTTTATTGGTTATGGTTATTAAGGTTTAAGTTTATTATGTATCTTGGTTGATATAAGCATATTCAACTCTTGTCACTGAGTTATGAGATTTTATTGTGTTTTATGGTTTTTTACATATGTGTTACATGTTATGTTTAGTATGTACATATATGTAATTAAGTATGTTTTGACTCTTGACACTGAGTTCTAAGATGTTATTATGTTTATTATGTTTATGAAGTTATTACATATTGTTTTTGTGTGTATATGTATGTAATTATGGTTTCAGAGGCTTATTGTATCTTTTAGTCATCCTTTGAGTACATGTACATGTGCTCAGGGTTGACACCGTGCGTGTGGCGCTTATGGCCGCATTTGCTGAGCCAAACATTGTGCTCATTCTTGTGTCCTTAGATACAGACTTCCAATGAAGTCCAATACCAGAACCCAAAAAAAAATATGGTTGCCCAACCCTCTGGCCTCCGACCCACCCCAACCAACACCAACCAACACCAACCAAATCCCATCCTACCGCAACATCCTATCCCGCCTCATGTTTCCCCTCACCCATCATGGAATTTCAACGCTACGCGGAACATCTCAAGCTTCTTGCCATCCAAATGGCTCTTGACGGCAACAAACTGGAGACAAGCAACACAATCCTACAATCATCAATATTTGCCACTCCACTTTGGAATTGGAAGGAACTTTCTTGGTGTACTAATTGGGTTGTCATCAATCCTCAAAAGTACAAGACAATTGGTCAACCTCATGTTTTATCAGACAACCATCTCACAGTGCTCCAAGAATTGGTCACTGGAACTCCAACCGTCTACATTGATGAACTTCAACATCTGATGGTTCAAATCACAGGCCTCCAAATATCACAGTCCACTATTGGCCGCAACGTGCATCAGCGCTTGGGACTCTCCCATCTTGTTGCTTGCGGCGTTCATTTGGCGCAGTCTCTTGCGGCTCGCACAGACAACATGATTTGGATTGGTGGTATCCCACCAGAATACCTTGTTTTTATAGGTTGGTTTTTTCCTCTCTTCCTTTGTCATTGTCTTCTTGTTTTCAAACATAAATTAACATTGTCTCTATGGTTTATAGATGAATCCAGGGTCAAGGGGGCGACTGCATCCAAACAAAGGCCTGGGCTCTGAAAGGAACTCAAAGTGTCCGCCAGAAGACACACACCAAGCAAGATCACTGGACCATCCTTCCAGCTGTCTGCAAGCCAGGGATGATTGCGGGGGTTGTGATCAAAGTTCCTGTTGAAAGGGTGCATGTTGCACTGTTCCTTGAACAGGACTTGGTAAGTCAAATTTTGTATTGCAATACCAATATTGGTTTTATTGATTGGTATATTGAGTTTTGTGGTTCAGATCCCGGTGATGAATAAGTATCCTGAAAAGAACTCCGTCCTTGTCTTGGATGACACACATATACACCATGGGGGTCTGATTGACCAACTTTGCAAGGACACCAGGATTCAACTAGTATATCTACTGGCTTACTCTCTGGATCTCAACCCTATCAAAAATTCATTCCATAGCATGAAGGCACAACTTTGCAGGGAACAGAGGTGTTTTGAGGTGGGGGACCGAGGTGATCATTTATTGTTAGTAGCTGGTAAAGTCATGACTCAATTGCTCTTGCAACCACTCATTGCTTTCAGTGGTTATGCCACTGAAGATCATTGGCACTATTATAATGCCCAGTTTGATGACTAGTACTCAGTCTAATCTAACTGAAGGTCTAATCATTTCCCAAGCTTGACTTTTAGTTCACTACCCTTAGTTCCTCTCTTATTTCTATGTCTTTGTGATGAAATTGAACGACTTAGAAAGCTCCTAAATTGACATGTCTGGCAAGAAAACTGAAAAAACCGCGAGTATTAAGATTAGCTGTCACTTCAGTCAAGTCTTATCTCAAGACTTGACTGATTTAGTCAAGTCTTACAATGGTCAAGACTTGATTGATTTTGTAAAGACTTTGAATGCTCAAGTCTTTACTGACGTAAGACTTGACTCTGATCAAGCAAGACTGGATCAATCAGAGTCATGACTTTGATTCAGCAAGACTTGATCAATCCAAGACTTGACTTTGATCAATCAGGTCTTTACTGATCAAAGGCTTGACTTTGATCAATCAAGTCTTTCCCAAGATCCGGCTTGATCAATTGAAGTCAAGTCCTGTCTCAGTAAAGACTTCACTCTCACTGGTGTTGACTGAGCAGTGTTAAGGGCTCAAGAGTTCACATTGATCCAAAGGTTGAAAAATGTGAACTCTTGGTGGGAGACGTGAAACCAACGTTGAACCAGACTTTAGTCCAGTCTCCTCTGGATTTGGGCTTGAGACAATTTCACATGAGGTAAATTTGTATTGGACGTCATTTGCATAATAGAGAGCCATGAACATGGTTAAGGACATCAACTAGACATTGGGATTCAAACGTGGGGCTTGGGTGAACAAGGGAACAATGAACATGGTTAAGACATCAACAAGACATTTCTGATTTCAACCTGGGGTTTGGGTGAACAAGGGAGCAAATCAATACAAAAAGTGTCAAACTAATCATGGACAAGTTGACTAGAACATTCTTTTGGGAGGTTTTTTGGGAAAGTGAGAAGTGATCACAGCGAGAGACAACCATGAATCTCACTAGATTTTATTTTAGGGCAAGCGGTTGGGTAGAACATCACCTTGAGGTGCTATCCACATCAGTACTCTTTGTAATTGGCATCCATTGCTTGTCCCTTGCCTTTGGATCAATGTTCTTCATTGGCTTTGACTTGGACCGGGTAGAATTGGCAAGCACAAGCCATCAACTTGATCACACTACCCCAGCAGATGCCCCAAGACCTGATTATCCTGGCATTCAAAACCTCCGGGAACAGGAAGTGTTTGAAGCTCGTGATGTAGTTGGCCAATAAGATTGACACAATATTGACAACCGGGTCATCACCAAAATCGGAGAACTCTATGTAGTCTATGAGAGTAGATTTGGAATCAATTATTTGAATTGTATCAACATCAACGTTGATGTTGACAAATTTTGTTTTGAAAGCTCCTTTGTATCCGCTCACCATAAAGATAATTCTTTGTCATAACTGATAGTTTTAGTGCAATCTGATTTCTATCGGTTTTGACAGAGTTTTGACAAAAGAGATAGTCAGTCAAAACTGATAGATTTGGGTTCAAATAATTGGCTATCGCTTTTCGCAGAGGCAACTGTACTTCTCTCAATGAAAATTCTCTCACTTCTTGCACATTTCCCAAGGTCTCCAGGACGGTACTCACTAAAGCCTCACACCTTTTCTTCAACTCCTCACCCTCCAGTTTCTTGTCAATGTCAGATTGTTTGTGAAAACAGTAACCATTATTCAAATTACCAAGCAGCCTTCAGGATAGGGATACATCAAATTAGTGTTTGACTAGAAAATGTGCCCCTAAAACATATCATAATCCCCTGCCAGCGGTGCGATTTTAAATGCCGTCAGACTGAAGGTATAAGCTGGAGAGGGGGCCTTCAGATTAGCAAAAGTGTACTCCTTCAAGACAAAAAAATCAGGCCAGTTCTGATTGCGGGACACACAAATATTGGCACGGGCAGTTGATGTCACACGGCCTTAAGTTTGTTTGCCGCCGTCTCCAAGATCAAGCTTGTACCTACACCCGGATCAATTAAAAAACGGAGAAGAATGCCGTTTACAAACCAGTGAAAAATAAGTGTCTTCCCCATCCAGGTTTGAGCAGAGGATTCAGTAGATTCAGTTGATGGCGCATACCCAGCAGAACCCTCCAGGTCAATCTCTTCCAGCTTGTTGAGCTGGTCTATAAGTTGATTGTACGCCGCTAATTCAGCTTGGCCAAGGTCCGGGAAAACACCTGCAGCTGCAACATTGACAGTCTGAGTTGGCTCCATTCCTGCTACATCAATACGTTTAGTTGGTCCCTTTGTGGTAACCCCAGTACACAGACTACAAATGATTACCCCCAATGACGCGACCGCAGGTGCAAAGGACTTTTTAGGTGGAGGGTATGGGGGTGCACAAGGGAAATCAAGCGGGACCAAAAGAAGCATTCCGCTAGGTTTGGCATTGCAATGGCCAATCCACTTGCTGCACAAGGTTTTGCATCAAGGACACAATCCAATCAATCTTGTGTACGCTCCAAAATGCACATTTCAAGCTTGAACTTCATTGGCAGTGGGGGGGTCCAATGCTGGGTATTGCCTGAGTCCATGAATTTTGAAAAGGGGGAAAAGGGAGGTACTAGCAAAGGATAGATTGACAACTGAGTAGGAGGATAGATAACAGACAAGTATAGCAGGAAAAATCCAGCTTTGAAGAAGTATGAGTGAGTAAAATAAGAGAGAAATAGTACAAGAAGAGGTGGTACTCTGAGAGAATGTAAGAGGATTTGGAAAAGATAATGTATGAGTGCAAAAGAAGCACTACTGAATAAAGCTATACCATGGAGTATTCAACACAGGACCCTGAGAACATGGCACAATTTGACGTTTGTCAACTTAGTTTTTCAGAAATTTATAAGGTCTCAAGATTTATCTGAGCCAGAAATGGGGCTCATAACCACATAGAGAGCATAAAATGCAATCATGTGTCTGATGGGATTCAAACCCATGACCTCATGACCAATCAACTGAGACAGATACTAGAATGCTCAAACACTAGGCTACAGACACTTGTGGATGCCAATGTTGTCACTGTGGTTGGAACATGGTTTTACAATACAGCTCCTCCAGACTGCAAGTGATCCATCGACATGCAAGCACACATCCACCAGTTCAACACTCCCCCTTGCTGTAGCAGAGAGAGAGTATGCAGTCTTACAGGAGTTGATGGTCTCATGTCACAGCTTCACATATTACATCATATCTCTAGTGAAAGCAAGATACACTTGGGTAGACCTCTGAGCTCATAACATGTTGCAACAGACTAGAGCACGCATAGAAAGTAATGGAAAGGGTGATATTGGTATTTCATGTAATACATATAACTAACATACTATCTAGAGCCAAACCTACCTAGAGCGCGCATAGAAAGTAATGGAAAGGGTAAGGAAGAAAACCCTTTCCTAGTGCGGTGCCAGGCAAGTTATATAGAAGAATCTTATGTAATAAGGATCAGTGTTTATGTAAGACAAAAAGGGTCTTGTGATCCGCTGAGTAGATGAGATCAGTGTTACATGAGAAGCGTGGATGGGAAAGCACATCAATGATAAGTAAATGAAGGAATACTAAGGGTGTTGACTTAACGCACATTTTCAGAAAGCACATTTTGTTACAATACTTTTCTACATGTAGAAAAGTGTTATTTCAAAAAATGCTGAAAATTCAGAGAAATTGAAATTTCATGAAAGAAGAGGTCCAGCATTGTTTGATTATGACACAATTAAGCAACGGTTTTCAGCAGAGAGCATCATTGACTTTTGATCACACTTGAAATCAAATGTGATACTGTTGACCATGAGTCAAGTCCCTTGAGCCAATTCCCAGAAAGCCAATTTGTATTGATCCATCTCATTTGATTCAAATCTTATCAATTCATTTCTTATTGATCCATTTCATATCAAATCAAATCTTATTGATCCAAATCTTGTCCATTTGAATCAATCCGGATCAATTTAATTCATTTCAAATTTGATCCAATTCAAATTTAATTGATTGGTTGAAGACAATTGAAGAGAGTGGTTAAAGACAATTGAAGAGAGTGGTTGAAGACAATCAAAGAGAGGGGTTGAAGACAATTGAAGGTAGTGGTTGAAGAAAAACTTGTCACAGAGTTGACAAGTTGGGTACGGTGGATAGAGGGGTCAATCTAACTTATCCAATTTGAGACCAAAGAAGAAATCACAAAAAGTGATTTTTGAGTACAAGAATGCGCTACAAGAGCATTCTCAAAAAGACTAGTAGTTGGTAACTTGTTATTAACAGATGGGAATGTGGTATTCATGGGATCTTTTACATACAACTCAATTTCGGACTGGGTTCTTATTTATTCTTATATTGATATTTTACCATGATGTCATATCTTGTTTACCACATTACCATCTTCCATTTTTAATAGTTACATTCCTATTTCCTATCTTCTCATCGTCTCTTAGTTTTTAACAGAGTTCCGTATAGTCTTTGTTCAATCTTAATCTCTATCAGATGAGTGATGGCAACTTTGAGTTCCGAGCCGCTGGGCTGGTTACCAAAAAACTGGACGCATTGTCCGCCAGTTATGATTCAGCGGGTGGCTCCGTTTCTGAAACATTGGGACAGGTACAATCATTATATTCAAAGATCGTACCTTTTAAGACCAAAAATTGGTATAAACAATGGTCCAAGTTTGCTACAAATCTCATCAATTTGGATAAAGCCGCGAATAGACCTGTTTAACGTAATGAAATCCCGGTTCCTACCTTGACTGTTTCATCAAACGACAATCCTCTTTACGTTTTTAATGATGAGGAGAACCCTTCCTATCCCCCTGATTTACCATCAAGTCCTCACTCAACCCCTCCTCGTGATGTTCGTCATAACGACCAAATTCCATTACTTACACAAGCTCAAATCGATAATGCACAGAAGGCCAGAGACCTTATGGATTCTCAAGAAGGACGTTCAGGATCACGAGACATCGTAGAACCCACATTATCGAAGAGGATTCAGACTCAGAATCCATTACTAGGAAAAGGGAGAAGAAATGGGATTGGATTTCCCGGGCGGAATCAGGCCCATCTTCTAAGGAACACTGCTCCGAAAGTGCTCTACGGTTTTCTTCTGCGGTTGAAGGTTATCAACCCGACATTTTGAAAGCCGTTGAAGGATTTAATAACCGGGTCAAACCTTTCAATTTTCCTTCTAATCTGTCAAAGGAACTTCTCCAGGGGAAGTATATTGACCTACAAAGAATCAAAGGCAAGTTTTTGGCCGAGAAAAGGGGCATGGCTCCTTCTCTTATGTTGGCGGGAAAGGACAAAGATTTGGAATTGCAGAATAAAAAAATCCATCAATGTCTTTAAGATTCTCAAGACTGGTTTTATTACTTTGATATCTTACAAAGAGCATACCAAGAAGCCTTTCCGAGTTGCTATCAGGATTTTCTTTTGTATGCAAACTTTATTAAAGGTGAATTTATGTCAGATGGTATTAAAGCGGATTGGGTGGTGGTGGCAGATTATGATGCTGCTCTTCGTGGCCAATTTTCTACAAGACGAGATATTTCATTTGCCGATTGGGACCATAAGAGTTTGGGTACTATCAAGACTAGAATTATGCAGAGGGCTTATCAAGACCCTCATCCAGTTGCATCTTCTAGTTCTCGTCAATTTTCTACTCCTTCCCGGCAAAGACAAGGGGGTCAAAATGAGGGAGTTGCTTCAAAAATTCATAATTCCCCGCTATATTATAAATCTAATTATAAGCATAAGGGTTTATTTGAAATTGAAGATGGTTCCAAGGTCAGAGAGGCGGAGCAATCCTACTTTGCATGGAATCTGGGGTCTTGTAAAACTATCAATTGTCCCCGGATCCATCTCTGTGTTGGTATCTTTTTCACTTATGTTGGCATATTCAATTTCTCTAATGATTGTTTTTACTCAGAACGTCAAAGGGTGTAGGGAAGCTCACAGAGGATGTGAAAATGCTTAAGGAGGAAAATTATCAAGAACCACATGTTGACATCCAGGATCTGGAGTTGGTGGTTTCATTTTTTACTTTCATTCATTTCTTTCACTTTTTAATATGTTTCTTTTTTCAAGTTGTTTAGCCAGGCGACGGGCTCTTCTGTAACTTTAGAAGACACTGAACTACTTTATACAGATCCCAAACAGAAGTACCTTAGAGGCTACAAATGGGACAGAGTCAAATCGTTTGGATATTCTCCGGCTATCAAATCCAGCTTCTATGCAGAGCCTTTTCCGGATGCCCCGCCTCTTTCTAAGGACGTGGACGCGAAATTAGTACTTCATCAATACCCCTTTCTCTTTGACGTCAAGACTCCAATCAAGATAGATAAATTGGAAACTCTCTTAGTAGATCATCCCAACCGTGCCTTCGTATCTTCTGTTTTAAAGGGTCTTAGAGAAGGGTTTTGGCCAACTTCATCTATTCCTTCATCTGATATTATCAACGGTCCAAACCACATATCATGCTCTTCAAATCAAAAGTTACTAGAGGAACAATGCCAAGAAGAGATTGATACAGGTTGGTTTTCGGAAGAATTCTTGACTATGCTTCCTGGAATGAAAGTGATCCCTCTTTTGATGGTTTCAAAGAAGGAATCTTCAAAGATGCGGGTTTGTGTAAATATGAGCGCTGGGAAACCATCACCAAACGACCTCATTGATAAGAAGAAAATCCCGGTCGCATATGATTTCCTCAAGACTTTCGTCCCGTTTTTATGAGACATGAAAGAAGATTTTGGTGAAGTGGTTTTAATAAAGTCTGATGTGGAAACCGCTTTTCGTATCATCCCATTACATCCTCAATATCAAATGCGTCAAGCATTAAGGACAAGAAAAGAATTGATCATATGCTAACTTTTGGTTCATCAGCATCACCCCACATTTGGTGCGGGGTGTTTTCTTTAGTCCTTTGGATTGCAGAAATCGTCTTTGAAATCAAATATCTAAATGCCATGATGGACAACGTCTGGTCGGTTTGCTCTGCGAGGAATTTTGTAGTTTTTAAGGACCACAGGATTCCCTTACCTCAAGCTAAACTATTAAACCTTTTTGACATCTTAGGTATTCCTTGGTCGTGGAAAAAGCAGATTCATGGTCCGGTAATTGAGATCATTGGTCATATCGTCGACTCAGACAAGATGATTATGGTCTTACCTAAAGAGAAGAAAGCAAATTTAATTAAAAATCTTCAAGACTTTGTTTTATCTTATAAGCACTCGTTGAACGGCTGGCAGACGATTTTGAGTCATGCTTCGTGGGCATGTACTTTGATGCCCTGGGGTCGGTTTGCGCTGCAAAACTTATATGAAAAAACGGGCAGTAAAAATCACCGGTTTCTTCAGATACCTTTAAATAAAGAAAATCAAGAAGACTTACGCTGGCTGATAAAATATTTTTCTGATTGTGATGGGGTTCAATTCTTACGAGCATTGAGATGGGGTATCTCGGAGGCTGATTCAATTTTTTATACTGATGCTTGTATGACGGGGATCGGTATATGGGAACCTAATCCAGCATTTGGAAGTTATTTCCTTCTTCCTCCCCCTCCTCGTAACATATTTTGGGCTGAGCTCTTAGCGGTGGTAGTTGCTATAGATTTAGGTATTGGGAAGGGATCTAAACGAATATTCATTCATTCAGATTCTAAGAACACCGTGGACCTTTTTAGCTCTCATGCGCCTGATAGGATCGTAAGACCATTGTTTCGACATGCAGTAAATAAATTACTATTGGCCTAAGCTGACGTAAAAGTTATGCACATTTCAGCTGACTTAAATTTTTCAGCCAATAGCTTATCAAGACAGAATTCAATTTTACTCAATGAAGACTTGGAAATCTTACGTCATGCTCTTAATGCAAACTCAATATCTTATTTATCAATTGATTCTGATCTTTTGTCTGGGGGGAAAGATTCAAATTTAAATTCTTCAGAGTTTTATCCTAAACAATGGGGAAAGCTTCCTCAAAAAAGTCTGGCCTGAACATCAATTTAGAAGATTTACGTAGACA